TGACCTCCATTTTCCATGTATGCTGTGCAACCAGTACTGGCTAGACAACTGAACTGAAAGTTTAGGACAGTCTATAACAGTGGTGGCGAACCAATGGCACACGTGCCAGAAGTGGCACTCGGAGCCCTCTCTGTGGGCACATGCGCCATGCCCCAGAGATAGCAACCGTCCCTCTTCAACCAGCCGTCCGCTAACTCGCCGAGGTCCCACGTGGCCGGATGCATCCCAGCACGGTTGGTTTCCCTTCCCCCCATCCTGTCCCTCCTGGCCTCACTTGCTCTCCTTTTCCTGGGCACGACCCACTGCATTGCCTCCTCAGCTGTCGGCCGGCCATCCAGCTCAGAGGCAGCTTCTCTGAACTGCTGGCGGTGGGCTGTGGAGTCCCAGAGTGTACCGGTCAAGGGGCCGGCAGGCTGTGGCTGCTGACGGACACTGTTGGCCCCCATGCACTTGCTGGCTTTTGTGTGCAGGGGCCGATGGTGTCAGTCAGCAGCCGCCCCGGCCCCTGTCTCGTCTTGCCCTTCGACAATGGCACCCCGCCCTGCCTTGCCTCACCCCACAGGAGGAGCCTCCTGCCCATCACCCCACCCGCCAGAGATCCCCTGGATCTTCCCCAAGGTTGCCGGCCCCCACAAGCGTCCCTCCCCACGAGCAACATCGAGGGGACCACCCCCACCTTGGCCACAGCCACCCAGTCTGCCATGACCACTATAGCCACATCCACCCAGTGGGTTGCAGTTTTGGCACTTGGTCTCTAAAAGGTTCGCCATCATTACTTTTAACAGGGTTGTGTCTTATTGTGGAAGTGCCACCTGAATGGCTTTACCTGATTTAGTGTCATTTCACCTCACCTAATTTTGTTTTAATATGCCCTTACAATTTTGTTGTATGAACTACTTTAGGATGGCACTGTTTTTCACTTTAGAAGAAGGCCCCTTGTTATTTATTCCTATGCACGTTTGAAAGGATTGCATATATTTGTATCACTTTTCCCCTGAAAGTGTTTGAGAGAACTGTTCATTTGAGGTGGGGGAGGAAACCTATTTTTGTGACCTTTTTTAATCTGTATACTCCCCCCCCCCATCTGCTGCACTCCTTTCATTTTTCCCAGGCTTTTTTCTACAAGGAATTGTTTGAGGAATCTGGTGCATTTGGTGCAATTTGCATCAACGTACAGATTTTTTCTTTTTTAAGATGCTAACTTTTAATTAAGCAAATTTCTACTTTCAAGCTTTAATTACAGGCAGTCCTTGACTTACAACCATCCACTTAGTGATAGTGACTGTTTGAAGTTACAACAGCAGTGAAAAAAATGACTTATGATCTTTTGTCACACTTAATTACCATTGCGGCACCACCCCCCATGGTCATGTGATCAAAATTAAGATGTTTGTCAACTGGTTCATATTAATGACTGTTGCTGTGTCCCATGATCATATGATCACCTTTTGCGACTTTCTGACAAGCAAAGTCAATGGGATAGGCAGATTTACTTAACAACTGTGATACTAACTGAACAACTGAGGCAAGAAAGGTCATAAAATGGGGTAAAGCTCACTTAACAACTGTCTTCCTTGGCAATGGAAATTTTGGGTTCAATTCAATTGTGGTGGTGAGTTGAGAATGACCTGTATATTCCAAAGTCCATTTAAATACCTTTCCTCTTTAAAAATGTACTTTAAAGTTCACAGATTCTCCTTGGAACTGGCAGCCTTTATTTATAATTTTATTATATTTCTAATCTAATTGATAATGTAATTTTCTGCACAGATTAAAAAAACCTAAATCAATAAAGTTTAAACCAATAGAAAGCGGCAACACAACTACATTAGGAAAATAAATATATGAAAGTCATGATCCTATGTAGGCATGTCAGATGATAAATTGAGCCATCCAAGCAGGGGCATCCAACCTTGGCAACTTTTTAAGATTTGTGAACTTCAACCCCCAGAATTCCCCAGCCAGCTGAAGTCCACAAATCTTAAAAGTTGCCAAGATTGGACACTCCTGCAAGAAAATCTAAAATATGTGAAAAGCTAATTAAATTTTTGAGCCAGAGTTCAACTCTAAGCACCTGTTCTCAGGAGCAAGTAATAGCATCAAAATCTGTAGAGCAGTAAAAAAAAAATTATATCTTCAAATATTTACCCTCTTTCCTTTAAGAAAAGTTAGATGTTTCCTACATTTTCCCATGATTTTCTTAAGTAGAGTTTAATCAGTAGGCATAATTTTTCTAGTTTGCCCAACAGACTGATCCCTGTCCACATAGATACAGGTGGGAAACTGATCAGATAAAACATTTTGAAGCAATTTAATATGAAATATAGTGTCTATAATAAGGAAACGGCTTTAATGTTTAAGTGTGGGTTTGAACCTGATCTCTGCAGTTTTCAAGCACTCTAACCATTACCTGGCACTTGAGGTACAATTGAGACATCCTTTGTGTCAGGTTCATAAGGGTCCCTGTCACTAGTTCCATTAATTCAGAGTGTATAAAAGACATTAAATAAAAGGTGTATTTGAATGCACGCAGAGTGCATTTCTCTTAAAGCTGAGTTATCACAACTCTTCCCCACTCCACTCACAGTTTTCATCACTGTTCAGGGGGAAAACATTATTACAACATAAGCTGCACATTTCTAAGCACTTCCAGTTTTGTTTTAATTTAGCAGTGGGGGAGGGAAACAGGTTGGGCCATGTGCCAAGTTATTTTCTATCACTGTGTGCAATCACAGCCTGGCATCCTGGGATGAAGTCATACATTGCCTCCAGGGGAAGGTCAAAAGAGGCAAGATGGCTAACGGGACCTCTTCACTTGTTGCTTTAGCAGTTTCAGGATGGTTCCTCCAAGGCATCCCCATGGCTTCCTACAAAACCATACAGCAATGCCTTATACCAGAACATCATTTTCTAAGCCAGGGGTAGGCAACCTTGGCTCTTTTATGACTCGTGGACTTCAACTCCCAGAATTCCTGAGCCAGCCATGCTGAGGGGAAAGGGAGAGGTTTCCAAGCTGAGCCATGCTGGCTCAGGAATTCTGGGAGTTGAAGTCCACGAGTCATAAAAGAGCCAAGGTTGCCCACCCCTGTTTTAAGCCAATATATTTACTGAATCCACATAAAAGGATCTGTCTGGAAATGGAGTGGTAGCAGCTACCTGACTCTTGATCTGAACTAGAAAGTTAGAAATTTTTGAAAAAAAAAAAGCTGTTGACATGTAGGGTAGCCTTTCCCTAGATGTTCTAGGATTCCCACCAAATTACCATATCGCACTCATCATATCCAGTCCACATCCATCGGAATCGGACTGGGTTTATCTAGTGTGTTAAGCCATAACATGGTTTGTTTTTGGCACAGTGCGGTGAGCTAATCTAGTCACTTTCATGTATTAAATAAATAGGTTATATGTGACTACAGAGTAGAATTTACAGGAATAGGTGATCCATTGCTTGACACAGGGTCTGGGTTCACGTATCTTGTATCTTAGCACAGCTTTGATGAACTCAAGTATTATAGTTTATTAAAAAAAACTATGGTTATAACAAACCATGGTTTAGTACAATAAATGAATTCAGTCAGCAATATACACTTTTGTGCATTTCTAATAGGGCTGCCAACCATTTAAGTAAATGCTGATGGTTTGGGATAGGGGTGCAGATGAGGGAAGAAATCCAGGTTCAATTCCACCCTCAGCTACTAGAAGCTCATTGGGTGCCTTTTTGGCCAGTCCACCTTACTCAACCTCTCCTAAGTCACAAGGCTGTTCTCTGAAAAATCAAAGGAGAGACTACCACTATGTTCGTCCCTTGAGCAACTAGAAGAAATGCCATATAAACAAACTACTCATCAATTTTAGTCTTACTTAGACTGGCCTATAATTTGTCTGATGTAAGAAAGATTATGTTCTTCAATTATGCATAGATGCACCCCTAGCAGACATCTCAGAAGGGATATTCTTCATGTATGCCAGTGTAGGGAAAATTGGTTTTAAAAAAACACATATCTTTGCAACCTGTGATTTTTATAAACAATTATTTGATGTCCTATCCCCCATATTGAATAATTACACCATGGACCAAGCTGGTGCCCTGCAGATGTATCATTCTTCACCCTCCCCAAGGAGCGTGGTTGATGGACAGGGATGACGAGAGATATCATCCTATAGTCCTTGAGGGTCCAGGTTAGGAAACAGAGCAAGATCCAATGCTGGCAAAATTTCAAGAAAACACTGAGATGAATCCTCCATCAAGAACAGAATTTTTCAGCCTTAGCAACTCCAAGATGTATGGACTTCAACTCTCAGCAAGGTTTCAACTCCCAGCAATGCCAGCTAGGGAATTCTGGGAATTGAAGTCCACCATATCTTGGGGTTGTCAAGGCTGAGAAACACTGGTTTGGAGCATTGCCTAACTTCTGGAGTGGGAGTGGCGAATGGACATTATATTGAGGGTGAGAAAATCAAAGAGGCACATTGGTCCTGCCCTCTCTAGTTTGTCCCTTCCTGCAGGGCAAAGATTCCTTTTTCTACTGGTGGTGTCTCCAGGCAAGGGGTAGTCAGTCTCTCCATGGATTTTTTCAGAGAACAGCCTTGTGACTTAGGAGAGGTTGAGCAAGGTTGACTGGCCAAAAAGGCACCCAATGAGCTTCTAGTAGCTGAGGGTGGAATTGAACCTGGGTTTCTTCCCTCATCTGCACCCCCCTACCCCAAACTATCAGCATTTACTTACATGGTGGGCTGCTGCCTATTAGGCAATGCACAAAAGTGTACATTTCTGACTGAATTCATTTATTGTAAGCAGTGGTGGGATTCAAATATGTGAACAACCGGTTCTCTGTGTGGAAATCCATTCTGGGCCTCGGCAACAAAAAATTAGCTGCTAGTTCTGCCTAACTGGTGCAAACTGACTCAATCCCACCACTGATTGTAAAGGGATGAAGGGGGGGGGAGTTTGTCAGTATTTCCCACCAACACTTCTCTTGTGTCTTTTCCTCCTTGTTCAGATACTGGGATGACTTCCACTCCTGCACCCTCACAGCCCTCACGGATTGTCAGGAAGGGCTGACAGACGTCTGGGAAAAACTGAAAGAGAAATCCAAAAAGCTCGACTACGAAGGCAACCTATTTGTCCTCTGCGGCAAAACCAACCGAGCAGCCTCGTCCCTCCTAGCCTCTGCCTCCCCGGTGCTGTTGGTGGCTCTTTCCGCTGCGCTGGCGACTTGCATCTCCATGTAGAAGGCCCTTCACGTCAACAGCACGCGGTCCACACGACACAGAATCTCCCCCCACTTCCTTCAGCCCACCACCCTTCCCTCCGCCACCGTTTCTCTCTTTCTCCAAGAAGTGGATTTACAAGAGGAAACGTCTCTGCCACTTGGCTTGGGGCGGAGGGGGGAGCTTCCCCTCCTCCAAAATAATGGGGCAGGGGGAAACGCCATTGTGAAGTCTCCGTGATGCTGGTGACCCTAACATCCATCTTGGGGAAGGACTGGGGGGGAAAAGAGAGAGAAACGGAAGCCATTACGACCAACTTGGTCTCTGCTCGCTCGCTTTCTCTCTTTCTCTTTCTTTCTCTCTCTCTCTCTCTCTCTCTCTCATTTCTTTTTTGCGTTCAGATGATTTGCCAAATGGTCCCCAACGGTGAGCAAGCAAAACAGCCAAACTCGGACCTCAGCTTTAGTTCCCTCTCTTCAGATCAAGGTCAACTCAAGCCCTCTTTTTCGTGTGTGCGTGTGCGTGTGTGGGTGTGGGTGGGTGCGTGAGTGCGTGGGTGCACCAAGAATCTCAGGAACGGCTTCCAGCCACCACCGATTACTAATAAAGAGTTAATAGGTAATAATAATATTAATAATAATAAAAAAATAATAATAGTAACGATAGTAATAAAATAACGCTACTAATAACACTACTCACGGCAACGAAAGGGGAGCTCAGCTCTTCCCCTCCGGGGGAAGGTAAAAGCCTCTCTTTGGCAGGTTGAATTGAGCGAGGAAGCTGGAAGGGGGGGAAGCGCGACCGGAAATGGAGCCACCTGAGCCGGAGCACGTGGGTTGAGCGGCTTTCTTAAGGGGATGAACTCACCGACGTTTGATCGTCTCGCCTCGGAAACTCTTTGTCGTCTTACTGATTTGTTTTCGATATTCCCCTCCACCATCATTTCACTTCAGAGAACCACGAACTCCCTTCCTCGATGGGTGGCGGAGGAGGGAGGAAGAAGGAAGAAGGGGGCGGAAAAAAGGGAGCGAAAAAAGAAGTGGAAAAAAACAAAACCAACCAAAATGCGGTTTTAGCTCAAAGAAGCGCCCCGTGGAGTGCTGCTAAGTATCGCGGAAGGCTGAGCTTGAACCGTCAAAGCATCCTTCAAGTCTTCACTGCCTTTTTTTTCCCCCCCGTTGAATTTCTCTTCTCTTTTTTTAAGAGTTGTCCCTCTTCTTTTATAGGTGTTTCACCATTATTGGCTATCCAACAGATCACAGGGGAGGGGGGGAAAAAAAGGGGGGAAAGAAAGGTGTATGTTAACGTTACAAACACAATAACAAGCGAACACACGACCTAAAGGTTCTGTGGGAGGGGTATGTTAAAAGAACCTTGATTTTAAAAGAAAAGAAAAAAAAACAAATGTAATTTAAGAAAGTTTATTATAAAGGCAATGCAGCAAAAAAATAATAACATAAAAGATTTGCTACAAAGTATAGAAAAAAAGGTATAAAATAAAATTATTGTTTGAAATGAGGATGCAGTTTTATTTTCTGGAAACGAGGTTATAGCCATACAATGTACCCCGCTGGTGTCTCTCTCTGAGTATAGAAAAGAGCAATTTTCAAGAAAACGAGCAACGTCGGAGGATCCACTAAAGGGCGCCTCTCATGAAATGGCCTGATTTCTTTTTTTTGGGGGGGGGGGGGGAGGAATGGCGTAAAAGTTTATCGATTTGGGGAAAGCGGGAACGAATCACTTTCGAAACCAGCGAACTCTGGAGAGTTTCGCTGACCTGCCCGAAATCAGAGGCGCGCAAGAGCTTTGGGGATGTTGGACGCTTATCGGATGATAAGAGCAGTTTTGCCCCTTTCCTGTCCCCCCCAAAAAAGGAACTGGCGTGGGAAAAAAAAAAGATGGGAGAGGAGCCATTCCCACGGCTTCTTCTCTGCTCGCCTGGTTTGTCTCTTACAAGGCCGTCCCCTTGCCAAGTGGCGCACTGCGATCCTGTGGCCACATTAAAGAAGGAGCCCGATTGAAACTCAACCCAGATTTAAGATCGCAGTGGCAACCCCAGTGGTATTTAAAAGTATTCTCACAAAAGGAGAAACAGACAATACAGCGCACCCCCTTCTTAAAACGAATGGCGCCTTTTGCCTTCGGTTCAAAGCTCGGTTCCCCGGTTCTTAGCCTACCGATAAGAGATTTCGAAAATCAGTTTTTATCCATTTCACCCAACGCGTTCTGTTATCTGTGCGTTGCCTTTAGCTGGGGAGGAGGGGGCATTTTTTGGGGGGTGCGCGTGTGTGAGATTCTCGAACAAAGTTTCAAAGGTTTCGTTTGATCTTCAGTTTTAAAAAGATCCCCCCCCCTCGTTGCTTACCATAAACATTTGTTTAAACTACGTGGGTATTTTGTCATATTTGCCCCCTCTCACCTTGAAGCTGTCTAGGTGAATCCGGGCAGGGTGGTGGGGAGGAGAGGGGGAATTGCAATCCGCACCTATCCGGGAGGGCCTTTTAAGTTCAACAAAGTCACCTTAAAAAACCTCCCATCCACGTGCGGCGGAGTAACCTCAACACACCTATCTTTAGTTTCTCGCCCGGTTAAATTTAGCTCGCGCGTGTCCTGAGATTTCGTTCGCCTTCCCGGACGGGCAGAGGCGCGAGAAGCTAAAATAAATAAACAACTTCACCTTTCTCTCAATTCCTCCCCCCCCCCCCCACTTACTCCCTCGATTTCCGAGGCGGTGGAGGAGGGAGAGAAAGGCGACCTAACATTACCCGGGGCTTGGGAAGGAAAGCCGGTCTGGAGAGCGCTTCTATAATTCATAACGCAGCTCCGCTCCAGCTGCGGCGGGCGAGAGGAGGTGGGCTGTTGCACCGCATCGATCCGGCAGCAGAAACTGCTCTGAACTCGCCTATTTATAGCGCTCTGCCCCCTCCAGAAAGAAGCCGGCGCCAATGCGTAAATCTGAAACAGAGGGGGGCCGGTCTTTTCTTTCACCCAAAGTTGTTGTTACCAGGAACATAAGAAGGGGGAGGAAGAGGGGGGGGGCTTTATTTGGCTCTTCGTTCAAGGGGGGGGGCTTTCTTGTGGGTACCGTTTCCAAGCTGGTGCGCGTACAGATGTGGATACGCGCGCCCAAGGTGTGCCAGGTGTTGCCGTCCGCCCTACCCTCTCCAAGGAGCGACGCGCGCTCTGGGCGTAAGCGAGAGCCGGGCGCGAAGGCGCCATAAATCAATCGGGCGCTGCTTTCCCGACGGATTGAATCGCAGCCCCGCAAATGTGCCCGGGAAATGGAGCCAAGGCGACGCCAGCCTGGCACACGCGCCCGATTCTGCGCGCTCTTTTTGGGGAAGGCTCGCAGAAAACAAGAGAAACCACCCCCACCCCCTGGCCTTTGCTCCAAGCCAGGAGCGCGGGCGGCGCCGGACTTCTCCAGGTTTCCTGCGCGCCCCTCGCCTGCCTTGCGGGACTCGTGGCCTTGTCTTTTCCCTCGGAGACATCAAGCGCGGGTTGCTTGGCTTTAAAAAAAAGAAAAAAAGAAAAAAGTGATCAGCGACAAGGGAGGACTCGATTGGAAACGAAATGCAATACTTGCAAAGTCTAGGATTCCCCCTCCCTCCCCAAAACGTGCATTTATTAGATTCGTTGCTGAGAAAGGTTCTCCCCCCCCCCCCCGCCTATTCTTACTGTCGTAAATTCAGAGTGGTATAACACAGGGTAGGTGGAAACCCAAGCCAGGCTGCCCGTCGTAGAACTGGAAAAAAAAAAAAGCTACAGAGCAGTTTTATACTGCTACACTGAGGTGCCTAAAATCGCGTTGTATTAACAAGCGTGCTAGCAATAATTGGTTCACGAGAGTTTGGCAAGGGAGTCGTCTCATCAAACGCTCCTGCCAGGGATGGGCAACCGAACTCGCGCCAGATGCTTCGGGCCTCCCATCATCCACCTCCTTTCCCCGCAGCCAACTATTGGAGTTATGGGGGGTTGTAGTCCCAACTCGTTTGGAAGTCTCTGGAGTGTCCCCTTTGATGAGATTGGATCGCCTTTAAGATGCAGGCGTCTCCTCGTTATTTTCCCTGCACTTCGAGGCGTTTTCTACTAATGCTGATAAATGTTATTATTGAGGAGAAGGATGATTGTATCCTAATAGCCCACTCCATCTCCCACGCACAGATAAACTGAATTGGCTATTTTTTTTTTTAAACTACTCGCTGGCTTTTTTTTGTGTGTGTGTGCATTTACTTGCATCCCATCTCCCCCATTCCGAAGCTTCTTTCTGTGGCGAAAAAAAAGAGTCGAATCCTCCTGAGTTAATCAGGACGGAAGATTTTTGGTCGGCTATCCTGTGTCACCCAGGTCCAGGATATGAAACTAACGATCTAAAGATCCCTAAGGAATAAACTGCACGATTCCACGGACTGGAAAATAGATCTCGCCCACCTCAGTGGGGGCCCCCTCCCCAAATAGTCCCGGGAGGAGAGCCGAGCGAGAGGGAGAGGAGGGGTCCCTAACACTGATCGGTCGGGGAGGGGGGAAGGTAACTTTTGTATTTTAAATAGGGTTGCCAGGTGTCCACTATTTGAGTGGACAGTCCACTTTTTTCACATTATGTTCACTATTTTTTTTCACAAAATAGTGGACATTTTTTTTTATTCAAAAGCTTTATGATGAAATGGTACGTAATCTAAAGTTGTACAGTCTACTTTTTTTACTACTTAACCCCCCCCCCCCCCCGCTTATCCGCTATTTTTTGGAAGCAGACCTGGCAACCCTAATTTTAAAAGGAAGTTGGAACAGGTTAAAAAAAAAAGGGGGGGTGGCATTTTTCCTGGAATCTCCCTGCTTGGCTGAATCCAAGCAGCCGCGGCTTCCCTTTTCCTGATTTCCGAGCGCCCAGGAATTATGAATTATGAATAGCTTTGCTCGTTCATCCTCTCGTAATAAGCAGCCCGCGATTGCCCCGAAGGGTCGCGTCTCCTGTGCCTGCGTGCCTGGCTGCCTTTTACAGGAAAATCTGACAGAAACGGCGGCACACAAAAAATGCCCCGTCTCCTCC